AAGAGGGAACCTTGATTTAGAAATTGAGATCGGATTAAGAAGTGGTTGAGAAATTTTACTTTTCTTCAGAGACCAAATGAAGACATGTTCAAATATACACAATATCAGAAAAACTATGTTCTGCATGAACTTAGTTCAGATGTAATTTTGGCCCCGAAATTTTTTTCCATTTGAGAAAAAAGCCTCAAGGCATCTTCAATTTAAATAATCATCCTCAAAAGGTACATGAATCACCTTTCTTTTCAAATGATGTTATTAAATGTTTTTTAATAATGACAAAGCTGTTAAAAACATCAAACACTTAATGGCAAAGTTCTACATACCATCAATGAGTTGCTCTAGGAAAGGAAAAAAAAGTTAATTCATTCAAGGCTACACAGAATACAGAATTAATCCTGAGAACAGCAGCTATCAATTTAAAAACAATTCCATATAAATTTAATCCATTTGATTTTGACTTGTGCAGAAGTACACACATACGCTACATACAGATTAGTGCTGTATTTCCTTTACTGTCCTCTAACCTGCTGAAATGAAATGCTGATTTCTGTACACTTAAAAGTTTATAAAAGAAAAAGGATTTATGGCTTCTACATTTAAGTTTCATTTACACAAAACACCAAAGATGGGAGCTGAGCAAAGATGGATGGGCCATTTTTCTTTCTCAGTCTTTAGGGGGAGATGCCAAAGTTGACACCATTATGAAATTCTAGGAAAAATTAGCAGTTTTTAATCAAGAAAGGATGTTTTCCCTTCCTATTCCCCACTGCTCTGGCTCTAGAGAATAAAACATTTCCTTTGTTTCAAAAAAAATTTTTTTAATGTAAAAGAACCACATTAGAAGTGTTACATTCATTTTAAAAGGCAGAGACCATTACTGTAAGTGACATTCACACATTTGGTAACTTCTAGTGTGTCTCAATGACAAATAGGGTAAGAAGTTCACTGCATGTGTGTTGACAAACAAAACATTTATTGGAAAAGTGCTACAGAGAAAACTTTATAGGGGGACCTGCATTTTTAATTCTCAGTTTGCCTGATTTCTCCATGCTCCTTTACAACCAGTACAGTACCAGTGCAGCTTTACAAAGCAAACAGCCTTAAAAAGCTAACTCTATGATCATTTACTCACGAAGCATTACAGACATTGCGTTGTGCAGACAAAAACTGAATTATGTCCTTAAACTTAAGTTTGTTCCGACCTGTCTAAAATCTAGCCTACAAGAGTAAGTGACATCTGTGCAATGCACATAAATCTAGTTGAGTACAGGTATCATGGACAGATAAAGGGATGAAAATTTCAAGCTGACAATAGACAGGATTTCTGCAAACTCCACAAACATATTCCAAGAATGGAGCTGACTGCAAGATTGGTTTAAAAGCAGATATTCTGTGCATAAGGTTATATGTATCACAGTAAAAAAAACACGTGAGAAAAGATGACAGTATGTAGTTACCCTAATAACTGAGGTAGAGCATCAAAACATGAAGGGAGACAGAATGAGAAGTATCATGCTACAATACATATCATTTGAAGATGAAACCAAGAACTTAAATAGGTGTCAAGAGCTACTGAACAGATTCAAGAAAAAGTTGAACGTTTAGAGCAGCATAAAGGAGTTTTTCTGCTGCATTCTAGCTGGAGTATGTCCTAGACAAAGCCAGAAAGGAGGAAGCAGCTTAATGTGACATTTTCATTTAAAGATGATAAAAAGACCAGGAAAACACAAAAATTGTCTGAAATACAAATAGATTTGCTCATCTGAAAGATTTGACAGTTTGTCACATCTAAGTCTCTAGTCTCTCCACTCCCACAAGCCATTCAAGGGGTGAAGCCTAGAACACCAGACACACTTTACGCTCTTTTGTTCAGCAAGAGGTAATTACACAAGACTGTGGCCGGATGTTAGGCCCAGTCATAGGGTAACTAAAACCCAGAATGTAGGTTCACGACTTTGTAAGGCACGTCAAAACACTTGTTTTACACAAATATTTACCAGAAGTAATAAAATGCGTATTTGAGAATATTCATATATCGATAACAGTAAATCAATACACAATCATTTGAAGACAGTGCAAGAATAATACACCACCCCCCCCCAAAATAACACTAAATTTAAAGGGACTAGTACCAATCTGTCAGAACAGATTTTGTACTGCCTCCAGCATATTGCTAAGGCACTCTCTTGACTATACACAGGAAGGCAGCAAAGGTCCATAATCCAATAATATGTGCTAGGTATATGCTAGTGCACCACAGCCTTAAGTAAGTATGGGTTTGTATGTTTCTTAACACAAAGTCACATCAATCCCACCTCACAGGCTGGAGGAATTAAAAAAAATAAAGAAAACCAAGATAGCAGGAAACCAAGAATTTAATCAAAACTTCAAGATTTCAGAGTGCATGTTTTCTTTCACGAGCTATGTAACAGTCTTCAGATACTCTTAGACCAAAGCTTCAGACGATGTCTGCACCTTTACTGCAAGCGGTGACCAAGTTTTGATGAACTTCTATTAAGCTATTTTGTAATCCAAAAAAGCTGTGGTGCATCCAGCTTCAAACAGTACTGGCAAGAATAGTAGCAGCCTAGTTAAAAATATTAATGAGGGGTTGTTTTTAAATGTATGACAGTTATGCTTTGCCCATTTTTACAGTTTACAAAGCCCTTTTCATAGTTTCTATTATACTGTGGTTTGAGTCGAGGTAAATCCTTACACAAAGAACAAATCAACTCAACATGTGTACAAGTCAACATCTGAAACACTGAAAGCCTTCCTTTCAGCCTAAAAGGTGGCAAGGAAACACCCATGTGTAATAATTGCCATTAAGTAACACCTAGATACGCAACCTACTCTTAGCCGGCGTTTTTCTTTTGCCGTTGAGGGGAAGAAATAAAACATAAAGGAAAAAAAACAAACAAAACAAAAACCAAAACCCCACACAGACATTGCTTCTCCGCTCGCCAGCGCCGAGGGCAAGAGATGAAAGGCGAAGGCGGCCGGCGT